CAGGCCTTCCTCTGGGGGGGAAGAGAGCTAATAAATACTATGTCACAAGGAAGAGCCCAGGGTAGCATCTGTTGCTGTGTTAGAGCACTGTAAATCCTAACAAGCTTTAACAATTAAGTACCAGGGTTCTATTTTTAGGGCAGCAGAATAACGAGCCTATGTGGCAGCAAGGAAGCTGGGAGTGTGGCAGCACACTGGTATCAAGCAGAGAAGGTTCTTCTTTAGAAAGCAATCGATTGGGGCTTGCCCACCCACTCGTTGGGCAAATGGAACCTTTGGCCCTGATCAGTGTTCGAAATTAGCCAGGCACATTTTGCACCTGGCTAACGGCCACTTGCAACCAATTGAAGATGCCTGGGTGCCAGGAAGGCGCCTGACATTTCCACCATCTGGTGGTTCGTGCCTGGGGATCACTGGATCTTGACTGTTTTTACACACTAATACCACATCCTGTAGATTTCTATCAGTTATATTTTATCTGCACAATCGGAATGAATTTCAGGAGCCGAAATGCTTTTTCTGTGCAGCCTGAGCTGGAGCAGCGAACAATGTTGTAGTTAAACGCTGTGGCTTGTCTTCAGTTACCCCACCCCACTGCCTTGCTCACAGTTAGGGAAAATATTCTTATGTTATGAATGGTCTGTGTCACCATTCAGAAAAAGAGGTCGGAATAGGCCAATATATATGTGGGCTGTCCCTGGATCAAGTGACTTTTCTTCTTTACGTTCTCAAAAGTTCTTCAGCTATCTCAAGGTTGTCTTCTGATCTAGCCAGATGTTTAGCTGACAATCCATCATGGTCAGTCCATCGTTTGAAAAATAAGACTTTAGAGGTGTCTTGCCCCAAAATGGCAACTAGACATTCTGCTTTGGTGGCTGTAATCTTGGATTAAGAGAGCCTAGTTTATAGATCTGAATTTCTAACACTGGTGATGGCAACTCCCTTGCAGAGGCCACTGGAGTGGCAAACTGTTAGAAACCCTGGGGGCTGCTTCTGCCACTTCCTGCCCTGGAAGGAAGTGTGTTGCGAAGGTCAACATTTGGGTGCCCATTCAGGTAACTGAAACGGACCCTTATTTGTGACCTGTTCTCACTACAGCCGAAGCACCTGCCATTCCATCGGCTTCCTCTGCCCACGTGGTTCTCTGCTCTGCCACAGGGATCTGGCGTGTGCTACCTGGCACTCTTTCTAAACTGGGCAAGGAGGGAGGGCAGCCTGGTTCAGTTCGGTGGTAGAACTTTCTTTTCCAGAGGCCAGCTGAACCAACAGCAGCTTAACAGAGGGATTGTGGTTCTGACCGGTCCGTAGCCGCAGTTGTCCCAGTACCACTGCAACCAAAGAGGAATTTGTTTCCCGCCAAGGAGAGCTCCTTAACCTTGTCCTTGGAACTCTGCGTATCTCTGCATTCCGTGATCCTTTACTGCCCATTAAAGCAGAAGCTCCTTCACCAAACAGAATCTAACCTTTAAAGGTCTGCGATATGAATGACATTATCAACTTGCCGCAACTTGCTTACTGTCTTGGTTTTCGCCTGGGCCAAAAACTCCTGTTACGTCTCCTCTTCCACAGGGCGGGGGGACATTTGCTGTCAAACCCCCACAGAGCGTACTTTCAGCATGAGGGTGCCTCATGGGGGTAAAGGCACCCTGATTTATTGTATCTTGTCTGTGCCAGTGCTTAAATTGCTGCCCAGCTTCAGCCTCAAGAGATAAGAACAGCCCTTCAAAAGAAGCACTTTTTTAAGGTCAATGTGAGCAGTGATCAGGCAGAGGTGTGACTCAACAAATAATCCTTTTTTTTCTTTTCTTTTTTACAATCTTCCTCTTCATTACGTGCATGAGAGATGCATGGAGCAATAATGTCTCTTAAGCTTTCCCCCTCCTAGAATCAGCCAGCCGTAAATCTTATGAAATAAGTTTTGCAAAACGATAGCATTTCCCTCTCAGTCTTGTAGGTGTGCTGTCCATCGTTAAGGGGATAGGAAGCGAAAAGAAAAATGCATGTGAACTACCGTATTTTTTGCTCTATAAGACCACAAGACACACCTAGTTTTTGGAGGAGGAAAACAAGAAAAAAAATATTCTGAATCTCAGAAGCCAGAACAGCAAGAGGGATCGCTGCGCAGTGAAAGCAGCAATCCCTCTTGCTGTTCTGGCTTCTGGGATAGCTGCGCAGCCTGCATTCGCTCCGTAAGACGCACACACATTTCCCCTTACTTTTTAGGAGGGGAAAAGTGAGTCTTATAGAGCAAAAAATATGGTACTTACTGTTAGTGATGTCTGACTATGGATTATAGTTTCTAAGCCCAGCTCTTTTCTTGATAGGAAGGAAACGGCCTAATATCCGAGAGCACTTAAGTCCACACTTTTGTTATGTTCCACACTTTTGATTGTGGGAATATTGAGAGATCTGGAATCAGGGAAGATTAGGACGAAAAGAAAAGTTGAAGGTCTGGAGGTGGACTTGGGAAGTCCCAAGCATTGCGGAATCTCTAAACAGCATCAGTCAAGGACTTGAGTCCAGCCTCAGTACCTTGGTGGTCTTGCCTGTTTAAAACCAAAGCTGTGGGCTCTGTGTCCCTCCCAGTGTTGTTAGACTCTCCCACCAGCCCTGGCCCAGTAATTCCTGGATTACGGGAGTTGTGCTCCAGCAAGATCTGTAGGGCCACAGTTTCCCCAGCCCTGGTTCAAACCCATCTGGATAACTACCTTTTGTGTTTGGAATTAAAAGTTCTTAAAAGTTCTCCCCGTGCTCCTTTGCTGTCCCTTCACTTCCAGAACATGGCTCCTTGCACAAATGCCTTTTGGCATCTCCATTTTGTCCTCAACCAGCAGGAGTGACGCCCAAATGGGAAGACATCTATTTCCCCATTCCTCCTGCTATTTATTTATATTTCATCCCCTCTCTCCCCTCACTCATCCATCTGTGGAACGTTCTCCCTCAGGAGGTTGTGGGGTCTCCTTCCTTGGAGGCTTTTAAGCAGAGGTTGGATGGCCATCTGTCATGTATGATTTAGTTGAGATTCCTGCATTGCAGCGGGTTGGACTAGATGACCCCAGGGTCCCTTCCTACTCTACAATTCTATGATCCCCATCCAAATGCCTGCAGTGGTGAGCCAGCTTCAGGCAGTCCACATGGCCCTCCTCAAGGAAGTAAACAGTGTGAACAAGCATACCCATTCCCTGAAGAAGCATGTGTTTGCTCCTGCATGCTGCTAGGCATGCCTCGTGGGTCCTATATAAGCTGGCTGTTTGGGGGTGGCTTTGCTGGAGGTGGGGCGATGTGATTTTTGCTTTCCTCCTTGCCTTTGAAGCTCATCCTCTGTTGGCACAAGCCAGGATCATCGTCTCAGCTTCAAAGTTAAAAGGATCTTGTGTTGGTTGGTTGCCCAGTTGTGCTGTCGGTTGCATTCTCCGCATTACCAAGGAAACTGTTGCCTAAGGCTTGTGCCCACAGCAGGTTCCCAGCAAATTAGTGCGAGGTGGAAGAATAAGAGTGGAAATGAGCTCACCCAGCTGCATGCCTCCTATTAGGCAAGGAACAATAAACATCGCCCACGCACAACAGTCATGATGCAGACAACAGGAGGGTCTTTCCTATTGTGTCTTTCCACCCAGTGATCACGCACCTGTTGGATATCGGATCAGACGGCTAGGAAATAAATCCTTTAAAAATAATGGTGCCTTTTCAACAAAAATGACCATCGCCATGCACAATGCCCCATAACCAGCTAGATCTACAGACCTTGTTCTTGCTGTTAGCCAGGGGTGTCAGAGACTAGATGTTGCAAAAGAGCGATCCCTGGCAGTTCTCTTTTAAGTTGGATCGTCGGCTGTATGTTGCATCTGCCTCTAGTTGACAGTGGCATCCAGTAAAATGCTGGCGCCGTGCATTTTACAAAGGCAAATGGAGGTGTTTTCATTTAACCCAAAGTGCTGTTAGTGCCCCAAGGAGATGGGTATCTCTAGGAATGGCCAGAGTTTGTGCTTGGCTCTGTTTCCTGCTGATTTGTTTATTAAATTTATATACCGCCCTTCATCCGAAGATCCCAGAATGGTTCACAAGATGAAAATACAGGATCAAATTTCCTACAAATTTCCTTCCTCCCATGAACAAAAGGTGCCCCACAAATGTGTAAAGGCCTCCTTTGGGCAGAGGACTCCTTTGCATGAATGAAATAGGCTGGCATGCCTACATGTATGGGAAACTGAAGAAACTGTTTGCATGAATGGGGGCCAAGATTTTGATGTGAGCAGGGCAGGCCCTATCATTGGGCATAACAAGTCAGCAATCGCTGGGGGCAGCAGCAAGGTGAACCAGGCTCTTGTGTGTCGTGTGACACCCCCAGCAACCCTCCTGCTACCCTCAGATGCTTCACCGATATTGTCAGGATGCAGGATTCAGCTGCTGGTCCTGTTAGCATCCCCCTGGTTTTGGGGACAGGGGGTGGCATCTTGTCCCTTGCTTCAGGTAGCAAAAACGTCCTGGGCCAGCTGTTTGTAAGGGTGCTCGCCAGCAGCAACCTCTGTTAGGCAGGGCTCCCTTTTCCCCTTCCGCTTTCATAGCAGCCATTTAGCCACTGACCTCTCCTGCTAACCAGCTACCGGACGTGTCTCTAGACTAGGAACACCCACCCTGCCAGCTGTTGGCTGGCGCCCTTTGAGACTGGTTGGGTGGGAGGTAGGGAGGCCAACAGCAGGTGGAGCTAGTGAGTCAACAGCAGGTGCAGGCGGGGCTAATGACAGGCAGAGCCAACCAATTTTGCCCCCATCCTACAAGGGGCAACACTGAAATTAAAGAGGAAGACGACAACAGGCAATACCACTCGCCTGGACTGTGCATAAGGCAAGGGGCTGGCCGAGGTTACACTGAGATTGGTGGGGCAGTGCCCCAGTTTCCCTAATGGGCCAGCTGCTCCCTCTCAGAGGACATTATACGACCGACTATCCCATAACTGACAGCCGACTCTCTTCTCTTTTCCCTCTCCCCTTTCCTCCTAGAGATGCCCTGTATCCAAACCCAATATGGGACCTTGCTTCAGAGCGGAGGCCCCTGTGAGCGCTACCCAGTGGACCTCTTGACCCCCGAGCTTGGCAAACCCACCATGGACCTGGTTAACACAGAGATCACTGCCGCCGCCACCTCTCTGCCCAGCTTCAGCACCTTCATGGACAATTACACCGGCGAATTCGACGCTTTCCTCTACCAGATCCCAGCCGCCAACCCCACGGCCGCCTCCTTCAAGCTGGAGGATTTCCAAGTGTACGGCTGCTACCCCGGCTCCTTCAGCAGCCAGCTGGACGAGACGATGTCCTCCAGCGGCTCGGACTATTACGGCAGCCCCTGCTCCGTCCCTTCCCCTTCCACGCCAAGCTACCAGACTTCGCAGGCGCCATCTTGGGAGAACTCCTTTGGGGCCTATTCCCCCACGCACGCCTACGAGGGCATGAGGCCTTGGGCATCGGCGGCAACGGAGCCTCCCAAAAGTAGTTCCGCCCAGCCCTCCTACTTCTCCTTCGGCCCCTCGGCTCACAGCCCCGGGGTCCCTCCGCAGAGCCCCCTGAAGATGCAGCCGCCCACCCACCAACACTTGGTGGACGGAGACGTCTTCTCTCTTCCACAACCTTCCTCGTCGGTCAGCTTTTCCCCTTTGCCGCTCAGCCAGGCCTCGCCAGTCCTGGACGGCTCCAGCTTAATGGACAGTTCGCTCTCGCCAAGCAAGGCGCGCAGCCCAGGGTCCAACGAGGGGCGCTGTGCCGTGTGCGGAGACAACGCCTCGTGCCAACACTATGGTGTCCGGACCTGCGAAGGCTGCAAGGGGTTTTTCAAGGTAAGAAGAACAACTTTCTGGCTCGCCCTCAAAACTGAGAACATTCTCATGCGCTGGTGGTGGTGTTTTTCAAGCTATATCTATGTTTAATGCACTTAACTCCCCCTCCCCAAAGGATTCTGGGAATTGTAGCTTGCTATGGGTGCTGGGAATAGCTCTGTGAAAGAGTAAACTATATTTCCCATGATACTTTTTCTTTTAAATAAGGGAGAGTCATGTGCTTTAAATGTATGGGGCGTGTTTCTGTGTGCTGGATGCTGCTAGGCAAGGCATTCCAGTCCTCCATGTGTCTCTAGAGGCAGTGCAAAGCATGCTGGGACTTTTTGGAGGAGGAGAGAGGGAGGAAGCCTCTTCTGTTGACTGCTACAGGGATGAGTCATCGGACCTTTCCCTGGCCTCTCCAAATAAAGGAGGTCTTTGTGAGAGCACTCTGTCCCCTCACAGGGGTAGGTGGCAAGAGCATTTTTGGAAGGTTGGAGATGAGCTTTCTGCAGGCTACGGGACCTTTAGGAAGCCCTCCGTCTCTCAGAGGCTGAAAAGTTCGCATTTGTTCCATCTAGTAACTTTCCACAATTGTAAACCCACAAAAGTTAGGAATGGAGTTGTTTCCTGGAGTGCAGAATTCCTTTCTGCTGCAAGCAACAGCCTGTACACGTCTCCACAAGTAAATAGACCAGAGCAGGCATGGGTGAGAAGGGGACCTGTGGCCCTCCAGAAATTGTGAGACTCCAACTTCGATCGGCCTCAGCCAGCCTGGCTCAATGGTCAAAGGGATGATGGGAGTTGTAGTCCAACAATATCTTGAGGGCCATATGCTACTTGTCCCTGGACTAGGCCCTGGCTCTTAGCTGAAAGTTCAGTGAGATGCTTAAGTAGCCAAGCTCCCGTTGCTCGATCCCTGCTGCTTCCAACCTAGCAGTTCGAAAGCACGTCAAAGTGCAAGTAGATAAATAGGTACTGCTCCGGCGGGAAGATAAACGGCGTTTCCGTGCGCTGCTCTGGTTCGCCAGAAGCGGCTTAGTCATGCTGGCCACATGACCCGGAAGCTGTATGCCGGCTCCCTCGGCCACTAAAGCGAGATGAGCGCCGCAACCCTAGAGTCGGTCATGACTGGACCTAATGGCCAGCATGACCTTTACCTTTATTGATCTCCTGGCCAAGAAAGACCAACCGTGATTCTGGTTCTGAGAATTCAGCAGGGGAATTCTGAGAACTTCCTCCTCCCTGCAAATCTTCTCTCTGGAGTCAAGTTGATTTAATATATGTATTCTGCTTATAATAGAACCATAGATTTGGAAGGGACCCTTAGGAACATCAAGTCTGACCCCCTGCTACGTAGCTGTCCCATACAGGGTTCGAACCTGCAGCCTTGGCGTTATCAGCACCATGCTCTAACAACAAACACTGCGATCGCTAAACAACAAGAACAAATTAATCAAACACAGTAGCGTAACTGTTTCCCAACCTTGGGTCTCCAGCTGTTTTTGCACTACAACTCCCATCATCCCTAGCTAGCAAGACCAGTGGTCAGGAATGATGGGAACTGTAGTCCAAAAGCAGCTGGAGACCCAAAGTTGGGAAACACTGGGATAGACCAAGCAACAACTAATTAATGAAAACAATTTAATTGGATTAACTGTAGTGACTCTGGAGCAAGGGCCTGTGGCCAGGACGAGGCTGATCTGCTAACAGCACAACCCTCCTCCCCATTTCCTAAAGTTCCCACTTCTACTGTAGTTTTGGAAAATTATAAACATATACATTTAGAAGCTTGGAGGTGATAAACTTCAGGACACAAAACCTCAGTGACAGAGGAGTAGGGAGGGAGTTAGTGAGCACAAGCAGATCTTGCAAACCAAACCAAGAGGGCCTTCTGGCGGTTCCCTCACTGCGAGAAGCCAAGTTACAGGGAACCAGGCAGAGGGCCTTCTCGGTAGTGGCACCCGCCCTGTGGAACGCCCTCCCACCAGATGTCAAAGAGAAGACAACTACCAGACTTTTAGAAGACATCTGAAGGCAGCCGTGTTTAGGGAAGCTTTTAATGTTTAACAGACCACTGTATTTTAATATTTTGCTGGAGGCCGGCCAGAGTAGCTGGGGAAACCCGGCCAGATGGGCGGGGTATAAATAATAAATTATTATTATTATTATTATTATTATTATTAACCCTGGCATTTTCTACAAGAGAGGCAGTGCCTGAACACCCTCCTGTAAGTCTAGGTACTTAAAAGCAGCAGATATGTCTAAGGGTATATCTGTACTACAAACCTGTTTTGTTTAGCACCCCACTTGAAGTCTTGTGACTCCTTCCACGGGACCCGTAGCTTTGTGAAGATGCTGCAAAGTCATTTCGTTTGTTTGTTTAACCCTTATATGCCAAAATGGCTTCTGAGTCGTTTTACAACTATGGAATCCGTTACAAAATCTATGCATAATTAAATTACACAGAGCATTGCAGCATCTGTCATTAAAATGTACAATAAATCAAGGCAGTTAAAAAGCATGGTAATCAAAACACAGCTGAAACAATAAGGTCAGACGTTCAAGTTCAGGGAAATGTGTCCCTGAGCAAATGGGTCTGCAGGATCCGTCGGAACGCCAGTACTGATGGGGTCTCTCATATCTCGGTAAGGAGGGTATTCCGCAACGCTGGTGCCACAAGGATAAAGCCCGTCTCCATGTTACCACAAGCTAATAATCATCTGGCCGTGGCAAAACTTAACTGGGTTCCATTTGCTGATCACAATGTCCTTACTGGGCAGTGGAGAGGAAGAAATTCCCTATGAGATTCTTAGCTTGCCAAAGCGACGGAATAGCTGTGATACCAACTTGTTTGTGGGTAGACGTGGCCTCATGCCAATTGTCAAACAGCCAGATCTCCGAATTTGCAAAGCTGTGGGTGGGTGGCTGGGGACATTTTGAATCCTGAAACTTTCTGAGCTAATTCTCTTGGCCAAACTTGAATGGCGGGGATCCATGTTGTCTCTGTCGCTTTGAAGCAGCCATGCGACCCGTTGCTTATAATTCAGGTACTTTACTCCTGTAAAATAGCCGGGAGGAGGAGGTGGCGGCATAGTAAATGCTTGTTTACTTACAAGATTTATATAATTTTTGGCTGGGCGTGCAGCAGACCCAACATTCAGCTGCTTCAAAATGCTCAGATTTCTACCCAGAGTTGTTTGATTTGCATTTTGAACGGCCCCATTTGGGATGTGTGACTTTCTAACTTGTCCCACGACCGAGAGCTTCAATTATTATTATTATTATTATTATTATTATTAATATAATAATAATAATAATTTTTATTTATACCCCGCCCTCCCCAGCCAAGGGCGGCCTCAGGGCGGCTAACAAGCAATAATAAAAACAAGTTGAATGAATACAACTTAAAAACAAAATTAAAATACAACATTAAAAGATTGAAACATTAAAATGCAGCCTCATCGCAGGAGGAGAAAGGAAAAGAAAGAGGAGGAGGGAATCAAATTGGCTCCAAGCCAAAGGCCAGGTGGAACAACTCTGTCTTACAGGCCCTGCGGAAAGAAATCAGATCCCGCAGGGCCCTGGTCTCATGAGGCCCTGGTTCCACCAGGCCGGAGCCAGGGTTGACAATGCCCTGGCTCTGGTTGAAGCTAATCTAACTTCCTTAGGGCTCGGGACCACTAGGGTGTTGCTATTAATGGACCTTGAGGCTCTCCGTGGGGCATACCGGGAGAGGCGGTCCCGTAGGTACGAGGGTCCTAGGCCGTGAAGGGCGTTAAAGGTCAAAACCAGCACCTTAAATCTGACCCTGTACTCCACCGGGAGCCAGTGCAGCTGGAAAAGCACTGGGTGAATATGCTCCCATGGCAGAGACCCCGTGAGGAGCCTCGCTGCAGCATTCTGCACCCGCTGGAGTTTCTGGGACAGCTTCAAGGGCAGCCCCACGTAGAGCGAATTACAGTAGTCAAGCCTGGAGGTGACCATCGCATGGATCACTGTGGCCAGGTCGGGACAGGAAAGGTAAGGGATGCGGCTGCTCAGACCTGCCCCCTTTTTAATGCATATTGCATTAAACTGTTCTCCAGTTGCATGAATGCAGAAAGACCCAGATCTTATGCATACCACACAAAGACCTTTCAGACTTTTAGTGGTTGAGGTGAGCCAATCGCAGATCTTGGAGAGAGGGACACTTCGGTTTCTCTGACGTCAGACCTTCTCAGTGCCATTTCCATCTTTCATCACCCCATTTCTGTGGCATTATGGTAACAGTAATAATAATAATAATAATTTTATTATTTATTATTTGTACCCCGCCCATCTGGCTGGGTTTCCCCAGCCACTCTGGGCGGCTTCCACAGAAACCAAAAACACACTAAAATATCACACATTAAAAACTTCCCTTAAGATGACTTCTGAATGTCAGGTAGTTGTTTATCGCTTTGACATCTGGTGGGAGGGCGTTCCACAGGGCGGGTGCCACTACCGAGAAGGCCCTCTGTCTGGTTCCCTGTAACCTCACTTCTCGCAATGAGGGAACGGCCAGAAGGCCCTTGGCGTTGGACCTCAGTGTCTGGGCAGAACAATGGAGGTGGAGACGCTCCTTCAGATATACTGGGTCGAGGCCGTTCAGGGCTTTAAAGGTCAACACCAGCACTTTGAATTGTGCTTGGAAATGTACTGGGAGCCAATGTAGGTCTTTCAAGGTGCGGAAATGTGAAGGCACAGCTGTGTCTGGAAGGTGCGGTCGCCCTCAGGTGGCGTACGATTTCTGTCGTACCCTTGTGAAACTGGAAACGGCAGGGTTGTAGGAACACTGCAATAAATAAACCGGCCTTTTGTCTTTTCTCGACACCGAGCTTGGAGATGGCCCGTGTGTTTTTGCGCATATGCGTGTGATGAGTCCTAAATGTCCCCGCTGCTCTTCTGTCTCCCGCAGCGCACTGTACAGAAGAACGCCAAATACATCTGCTTAGCCAATAAAGACTGCCCTGTGGACAAGCGGAGGAGAAACCGGTGCCAGTTTTGTCGTTTCCAGAAGTGCCTTGCTGTGGGAATGGTCAAAGAAGGTAAGAGACGTCCCTGTTTGTTGAGTTTGATGTGCAGGTTAAAGTGTTAATAAGATCAGGGGTTTAATCGGCTTGTGGCCTGTGTTATTTGCCCAAGGCAAGCACCTTAATGCGTTTGGTCCTTGCAATCACTGGCAGATTTAAATCTCATTTTACAGTCATCAGTGTCCATTGAAGCAGTCAGGAATATCTGCTCTTCAGCCGTGAATTGTCAGAAGGATTAAGGAGTGATTAGGTTCTGCGCTGATTTGATCTGTGCCATATTTTGACTGGGTGCACTAGCTAACAACAGTCTGCTAGTGTCATTGCCTCGCTCTGGCCAGAGAGATCTACATAAAGGGGTTGGGGGCTTTTTAAGTGTGGGGTCAGGAGCAGAATTATTCAGAGCAAAGAGTCAATGAGAGAGGACAGAAGAAGCAACTCTTGTCGCAAGCTTCCTTTGACTGTCCAAGACCAGCACTTGAGATGTCAAACAGGCATGTGGAACCTGCAGCCCTCCAGATGCTGTGGGACTCCAACTCCCATCAGCCCCCAGCCAGCTTGGCCAATGGTCAGAGGTGATGGGAGTTGTAGTTCAGTCGCATCGAGAGAGGTCTCCCACTTAATACAAGTATCGCATTCCGCACTTCTGTTGTGCAGTTGTGAAATACAGTGGTACCTCAGGTTACAAACACCTCGGGTTACAAACACTTTGGGTTACGGACTCCGCTAACCTGGAAAATACAGTGGTACCTTGGGTTAAGTACTTAATTCGTTCCGGAGGTCCGTTCTTAACCTGAAACTGTTCTTAACCTGAAGCACCACTTTAGGTAATGGGGCCTCCTGCTGCCGCCACGTCGCCGGAGCCCGATTTCTGTTCTTATCCTGAAGCAAAGTTCTTAACCCAAGGTACTATTTCTGGGTTAGCGGAGTGTGTAACCTGAAGCGTATGTAACCTGAAGCGTATGTAACCCAAGGTACCACTGTAGGGTAGGTACCACTCTCAGGATGAGAACAGAAATCACGCGGCGGTGGGAGGCCCCATTAGCTAAAGTGGTACCTCAGGTTAAGAACGGTTTCAGGTTATGAACAGACCTCCGGAACGAATTAAGTTCGTAACCAGAGGTACCACTGTACAGAATACTGGTGTGGCTAAACCCCAACCCGCCATCTTGTGAAACGTACCTAGCATACGGCAACTAGACCAATGCCTGCTCCACTTTGGCCGGTATCCAAATTCCATTCTGCGATTAAAAACCTTCCTAAGCCCCACGGTTAGTCCTGTCGATAGTTCCCGCACGTCTCTGCTCCCCACCTCTCTGAATGTGTGCCTTTTTTCACTTCCTCCTTCCCTCAGTGGTGCGGACGGACAGCTTGAAAGGCCGGCGTGGTCGTTTGCCCTCCAAACCCAAGCAAACTCAAGACACCTCTCCAGTCAGCCTCATCTCCTCTCTTGTGAGAGCGCACATAGATTCCATACCCAGCGCAACAAAGCTTGATTATTCCAAGGTACTTTCTAATCTGCGTTCCTACCGTCTGTGGCACTCGTGGCTGACTTGGGGCGGGTGGGGGGGGGGAGATAATGTGCCAGGCAGATAAACAAAACACATTTGTACTTTGTTCCTTGTGGGATGCCCCAAATGGTCCCCGTGAAATGCCCCAAAATAATGGTGCCATTTTAAGTGCCTAGGTAGTCTAACATGCCATGGAATGACTTGGAGCAAAGGGCTAGGGAATTCAGCAGGGCAAAGCCCTTCCCAACAGATGCCGCAAGTCCTGTTAGTGGAACATGCCTGAGCTGAAGGAGTGGGGGGTTTTGTTTTGGATACACCTTCCAGCCCCAACTGCCTAGACACTTGAAATGGCTCGTGAGCAGAGAATACACTACAGTGGACTAGGACAGCTGGGGTGGGGGGATCACATCTAGCAAACAATGCACCCCTTTGGTTTCAGATAGAATGTGGGTAAAGGTAAAGGGACCCCTGACCATTAGGTCCAGTCATGACCGACTCTGGGGTTGCAGCGCTCATCTCGCTTTATTGGCCGAGGGAGCCGGCGTACAGCTTCTGGGTCATGTGGCCAGCATGACTAAGCCGCTTCTGGCGAACCAGAGCAATGCACGGAAACGCCGTTTACCTTCCCGCCGGAGCGGTACCTATTTATCTACTTGCACTTTGACGTGCTTTCGAACTGCTAGGTTGGCAGGAGCAGGGACCGAGCAACGGGAGCTCACCCCGTCGTGGGGATTCAAACCGCCGACTTTCTGATTGGCAAGTCCTAGGCTCTGTGGTTTAACCCACAGCATCACCCGCGTCCCTCAGAATGTGGGTAGAGGAGTCTAAAAAGCCCAGGACACAAATTTTCACAACCCTCTAGCTGTTATGGGGGGTGGCGCTGTGATCTAAACCACCGAGCCTCTTGGGCTTGCCGATCGGAAAGTCGGCGGTTTGAATCCCTGCGACGGAGTGAGCTCCCGTTGCTGTGTCCCCGCTCCTGCCAACCTAGAAATTCAAAAGCACATCAGTGCAAGTAGATAAATAGGTACCACTGTGGCGGGAAGGTAAATGGTGTTTCTGTGCAGTCTGGTTTCTGTCACAGTGTTCTGCTGCGCCAGAAGCGGTTTAGTCATGCTGGCCACACGACCCGGAAAGCTGCCTGTGGACAAACACCGGCTCCCTTGGCCTGAAAGCCGCAACCCCATAGTTGCCTTTGACTGGACTTAAGTATCCAGGGGTCCTTTACCTTTTACCTTTACCTTACCAGAAGTAATGTATTTAGTGTTAACTCTGGAAGTGTATACTCAGTTCTGACCAAACTAAGCCTACTGGTGTATATTTTGCTCTAGGAAGGCCTAGTTTGGTCAGAAACGAGTTTACACTTTCAGAGTTAACACTAAATACATTGCTTCCGGCAAATGAGCCACCATAGCTGCGGGAGGTCCCGGGCTTTTTAGACTCGTCTACCCATGTGCTATCTGAAACCCGAGGGCCGCAATGGTTGCCAGATGTGAATTACATTTCCATTATTTTCAGCCCTCCTATGCCATTATTAGTAATCTCTGGCTTGAGAATGCATTATTTGGCCATTCAAATGAGAGTCTTGAGTTCATCAATCTTGATTCCTCTCTATCAGCGCTAGCAAGGAGAATGTCATTGCGCTGGTGGTAGTGTCTACACCCCTGCCCGTCTCTCCACCCCTCCCAAAATAAAATGAGTAGGTTATCAGGGATAGGGGGCCATGAGCTGGGTTGTGTCTGCTCTTCAACCTTTTTTGCTTGTTTCCTCCCCAGTTCCAGGAATCTGTCTCCTACCAGTTTGAGAAGGAGGACTGTGTCGACGTCCAGCAGTTCTACGACCTGTTGACAGGCTCGATGGACGTCATCCGGAAATGGGCGGAGAAGATCCAGGGCTTCCTAGAGCTTCCGAAAGAGGATCAAGACCTGCTTCTGGAATCTGCTTTTTTGGAGCTCTTCATTCTCCGGCTAGCGTACAGGTAAAGGTGCAGCAGCAGAGCTGCCGTACGAAACCCACAGTGATCCACTTAGCCTCTAAATTTGGGGCAAGCTCAGTAAGTCACCTCGTATCAGGTTGCAGGAACGGTGGCAGTACGGCAAAATAAAACAAACAGATGCAAGAGGAGAAGGGAATCCTCCATATATAGACCCAGGGCCCTTGAATTGAACATTATTGCATTATGGGCCCTCTAAACATCTGATAGGAACGCGGGCGGTGCTGTAGGTTAAACCACAGAGCCTAGGACTTGCCGATCAGAAGGTCGGCGGTTCGGAATCCCTGCGACGGGGTGAGCTCCCGTTGCTCGGTCCCTGCTCCTGCCAACCTAGCAGTTTGAAAGCACGAAGTGCAAGTAGACAAATAGGTACCGATCCGGCGGGAAGATAAATGGTGTTTCCGTGCGCTGCTCTGGTTCGCCAGAACGGCTTAGTCATGTTGGCCACATGACCCGGAAGCTGTACGCCGGCTCCCTCGGCCAGTAAAGCGAGATGAGCGCCGCAACCCCAGAGTCGGCCACGACTGGACCTAATGGTCAGGGGTCCCTTTACCTTTTTAGACATCTGATAGGGGATGCTGTGAGCAGAGGAAGCCTTTGTTTACAGTCTCTCCTTCCTTACTCTGGAAGGGAAGGGCTTCTGCGTGTCGTGCTGGGATAAGGGAATGGTGGGTGAGAGAAGACCGCAGGTTCTGTTTTTGCCCCAAAGTGGGTGGGTGGGAGAGCCCAGCGGCAGAGCACATTGCTTTCAGAGCCAGTTCAGGAGGCTCCTCAGCTCAAGACCTCTGTCTGGAACAAATCCTGCCTGTGACCCTGGGATTCCAAGTTCCAGTGAAGCAGCAGCGTTTGGCAATGAGCTCCAACTGCCCAGTCCAAGCCACCATTTCCCGGCAAACTCCCATGGCTTGCCCCGCTGCCTCTATACCCTTCCCTCCAGGGACCGACACACACTGTCCAAGTTTCAACTCAAACCGTGCTCTCTCTCTCTCTCGCAGGTCCAAGCCAGAAGAAGGCAAACTGATATTCTGCAACGGGGTGGTGCTCCATCGGATGCAGTGTGTCCGAGGCTTTGGAGAGTGGATCGACTCCATCATCGAGTTCTCCCAGAGCCTCCACCGCATGAACATCGATGTGCCCTCCTTCTCCTGCCTCGCGGCACTTGTCATCATCACAGGTAGGCCCGGCGCCCACATCACTGGGGTGGTTCTCCGGGGTGCATGGGCGAGGCTGCAGAAAGCGCTGGTTGAGAGGCAGGATCGAGGAAGCACCAGATCTCTGGAAGGGAGGTGCTTAAGGCTCCCAATCAGTTTGTGACATCTCTAGGTGCCTTCAGGGAAAGGGATAGATCAGATCTACTTGCTCTGGGAGGGACGCGGGTGGCGCTGTGGGTTAAACCACAGAGCCTAGGACTTGCCGATCAGAAGGTCCAGCGGTTCGAATCCCCGCGACAGGGTGAGCTCCCATTGCTCAGTCCCTGCTCCTGCCAACCTAGCAGTTTGAAAGCACACCAGTGCAAGTAGATAAATAGGTACCGCTGTGGCGGGAAGGTAAACAGTGTTTCCGTGCGCTGCTCTGGTTCGCCAGAAGCGGCTTAGTCATGCTGGCCACATGACCCAGAAGCTGTACGCCGGCTCCCTCGGCCAATAAAGCGAGATGGGCGCCACAACCCCAGAGTTGGTTATGACTGGACCTAATGGTCAGGGGTCCCTTTACCGTTACCTTTACTTGCTCTGGGAGGGAGGGGTCCAGCAATATCTGGAAGGCACCGCCGCTCCAGTCCTGATGGCCCAGCCAAGGCGTGGCTTGGCAAGGGAGGGAGCCTGTCATGGGGGCACCCGGTTGTGCCCCCTTGCACCCTTTCAGAAATCTGCGCTCATGGACACAGTCCTCCTGGTCCTTCCTAAGCTACGTCCCAACACCTGAGTAGCATGGAACACCATGAGATACTTATGGGACCTTAGGGAGTCCAACATGTCTGACTGCATCAGGGAGAATAATAAATATTATTTATTTATTTATTTATACCCCGCCCTTCCCGGTTCAGAAATCCGGGCTCAGGGTGGCTAACAACAAATTTAAAACACTTAATTGATGCAACAAAAAACAGCCTAAAATACAGTATAAAACGTGAATAGCAATAAATTCAAAAATCAATTTAGGGGGGGAATCCATCCCATAAACATTAGGTGATTACCAGGGCTAGCTGGCTAAATTAGTCCTATTTGGGCCAGCTAGGAGACCAGGGGAGAATTAGCTGTGGGATCCCGGAGCGGGTAATCTTAATAAAAAGGGGAGAGGGAGGGAAGGAAAGATCAGCCTAAGTTCAAATTGAAAGCCAGGCTCTGTCGTACAGGCCCTGCGGAAGGAAGTTAAATCCTGCAGGGCCCTGGTCTCATGGGACAGAGCATTCCACCAGGTCGGAGCCATCACTAAGAAGGCCCTGGCCCTGGTGGAGGATAATCAGACTTCCTTAGGGCCTGGGGCCTCTGGTTATTTAAGGTCCTCTGCAGGGAGGAGAAGTCCTTGGTTCGCTCTCGTGTTTAACAGCTGCTTCCCTATTCTTTTCTTGCTGCTGCCGCCGCCGCCATCTCCACCTTCTCTCCGCCGTCTCCAAACCAGACCGCCATGGGTTAAAAGAGCCAAAGAAGGTTGAAGACCTCCAGAACCGCATTGTCAGCTGCCTTAAAGACCACGTGACTTCCACCACCAACGAGCAGCTCCACCCGAACTGCCTCTCCAAGCTGCTGGGCAAACTCCCCGAACTCCGCACCCTGTGCACTCAAGGGCTCCAGCGCATCTTCTACCTGAAGCTCGAGGACCTGGTCCCCCCGCCGCCCATTGTGGACAAAATATTCATGGACACGCTGCCTTTCTGAGGACTCCGAAGGAAGGAAGGAAGGAAGTTGCCGTGAATCACTGGTTCTTCCTGTTTGGGGGGGGGGGAGGGTGGCTTTATATATATATATTTGGGGGTGGTGGCTGATGGACAGAAACTGGCAGAGGGGATTTCCTTGCCACCCCATCACCTGGAGGGGAGTTTGCAGGGACATTTTTCTCCCCCCGTGACATTACAGAGGATGTTTAAAATTTTGAAGCCTAGTGGTCGGAAGATGAAGGCCACGAGCGTTATCGTGTCTCCACACCCCCCTTTCTCCTTTTGTCCACCCTTTTTGATCTTGGAGTTTAGTGGGACATTGCTCTCCTTCTCTCTTCCTCCTCTTCCTCTCTCTGAACTTCGGACAACTTTTTTTGGAGTTTGTGTTTTTTTTAACCTTGTGGGGGGGGGGAGGGAATATCCCGGTGTGCCTTCTAGGGTTACATGCACAATATCCCTAAATAATGCTGCCTTTCCCATGTAACTTGCCAACGGCTCCACACGTGCAATGCGATGCCTAAATTCCATACAGTTGCACAGATCAGCTTTGTGTAATACATGTGGAATATGTTGGTGTTTTGTGTTTTTTGTCGTTTTTTTAATAGTCAAAGGCTGGTTAGGGATTTAAAAAAAAAAGAATTGCCTTCTCTTTACTTTATCCATGTTCCTGGCCCTGGCGAAGAATTCCCTCTCAAGTATGGGAACTGGGTGAGGTTTTTTGTTTTTAGTTTTTCCAACTCCCTTCCGTAAAAGCTGCTTGCAATCTTGAACTCGGTGCAACTTGGGGGGAGTGGCGGTCCAGTTTACGCCGTAAGCAAGCACATATCCCCCAGATAGCTTGTTCTTCCCACCTGCCGCTTCGTCAGGAGCGGCCAAGTTTTGTTGGACGGTGTTTTTGTGTTCTTTTTTTTTGTGTGTAAAAGTTGTATATAAGAGGATCGGCACGTTGGCTTTGTAAATACAGATGAATGGATGATTGAATGAATGGCAGAGGAGGGAAAGCGGGGGGGGGGAGGGCTCTTCTGTATGAGCCGCTGAGAAATGTGCTTCGCCCTAAATTTGCAGGACACCTTCTGCCTTTCTGTGTATATAACTTTGTATTGTAAAGTCTGCCAATCTTTTTTTTTTTGACATTTATATTTGTCTATCCCTCCTTTCCAATTTCCAGTATGTGACTTTTTTCCAATTATTAATATATATTTAATATATTGAATTAAAAAAAAACACCCTGAGTAGATGTACTTCTAATGCGACTTTGTTTCTTTGCTTGATCGCGAGACGTGCATGCCGGTGTAAACTGAGCTATTTGAAACTGGAGTTTCCTTTTAAAATGAGACAGTCTCTTTCTGGGTTTCCTGTCCTAGCTTACCTTAACTTGAAAGGTTAAAGCAGGAGTCGGGCACTGCCTCCCTATGACATGTGGGCACTTTTGTGTCGCCCTCTTTCCTGGTCAAACAGGTTTTGTGAAACGTAAGCTGCTGCTTTTCACAAAGCGTTAAGACGATTGTCCACTTAGCCCAACAGCTCTGCAGCTTCTCTCTCTCTGAGAAGATGGCCAGGATCGAACCTGGAGACTTAATGTACCGTATTTTTCGCTCTATAGGACGCACTTTTCCCCCTCCAAAAATTAAGGGGAAATGTGTGTGCGTCCTGTGGAGCGAATGCAGGCTCCTTGGCTTCAGCGATAGCAATGCGAAGCCTCCGAAGCGCAGAGGGAGCATTCCCTCTGTGCTCCGGAGGCTTCGCGTTGCTTTCGCTGAAGCCTGGAGAGCAAGAGGGGTCGGTGTGCACCGACCCCTCTCGCTCTCCAGGCTTCAGAGATAGCCGTCTGAAGCCTGCAGAGTGCAGGGCAAGTTCTCGCTGCGCTCCGCAGGCTTCAGGTTCCTTTCGCTGAAGCCGGCAGAGCAAGACTCTCACGCTGCGGGAACTCACGCTGCGCTCCGAAGGCTTCAGGGATAGCCGCCTGAAGCCTCCAGAGGCTTCGGGTTCCTTTTGCTGAAGCCGGGAGAGCAAGACTCTCCCGGCTTCAGCAGAGAGGGAGAGCTATGCAGCGCCCCTTCAGCCAAGCGGGAGGAGAAATGGAAGGGGCTCCGTTTCTCCTGCCGCTTTCGCTGACGGGGTGCTGAGCAGAGAGGGGGGAGAATTTTTTTTTCTTGTTCTCCCCCTCTAAAACAAGGTACATCCTATGGTCGGGTGCATCCTATAGAGCGAAAAATACGGTATGTAAACCTATGTGCCCCTATCCCTGAGCTATGACCCCAAAGTCGGTGTACCAGCAATAAAAATGCCAGGTGCGTTCACTCCCCCAAGCAGGAATCTCTCGCTGTCTTCAGCCTAAGCAGCTGCTCTTAATGAAAATATCAATAGCATTACTTTAAAAAGGGGTATTCGCTCATTTTGCGCAAATCTGATAGAATGATAGAACTTGCCAACTTGATATCTCCATCCTTAAGCAAGCAAACTTTGATCACTTTGAGAAGTAACACTGTACACATTCTGCTTAAGAGGTTTTTGAAAATCATAGAATCGGAGAGTTGGAAGGGACAAGTCATCTTGTCCAATCCCTGGCATCCAAACATCCATGACAGATGGCCTCCCAATCTCTGCTTAAAAGCCCCCACAAGGGAGACCGTTCCACTGTCAAACAGCTCTTGCTGTCAGAAAGCTCTTCCTGATGTTGAGTCAGAATCTCCTTTCTTGTAACTTGAAGCCACTGGATCGAGTCCTACCCTCCAGAGCAGGAGAAAACAAGCTTCCGCCATCTTCCACGTGGCAGCCCTTGAGATATTTAGTGCCTAGGACTTGCCGATCGAAAGGTCGGCGGTTCGAATCCCCGCAGCGGGGTGCGCTCCCGTCGCTCGGTCCCAGCGCCTGCCAACCTAGCAGTTCGAAAGCACCCCCGGGTGCAAGTAGATAAATAGGGACCGCTTACCAGCGGGAAGGTAAACGGCGTTCCGTGTGCTGCGCTGGCTCGCCAGATGCAGCTTGTCACGCTGGCCACGTGACCCGGAAGTGTCTGCGGACAGCGCTGGCTCCCGGCCTATAGAGTGAGATGAGCGCACAACCCTAGAGTCTGGCAAGACTGGCCCGTACGGGCAGGGGTACCTTTACCTTTTACCTATCATGTCTCCTCTCAGTCTCCTCTTTTCCAGGATAAAGATACCCAGCTCCCTCATACCTCTTGGTTTCCAGTCCCTTGATCATCTTGGTTGCCCTCCTCTGCACACGCTCCAGCTTGAAAAGGCAATCAAAAAGCACAGAGGGAATTTATTTCATATTGTTCATGTATCTATCCTGTGAATTGAGACGCAAAGTTCCACTGTCTAATGGGAGCCATTGGTATGTGACAAGCTTTCTGTCCTGAAGTAGAAACAGTGCTGAAAATGGGAGACAACATTGCGTATACTGTAAGAAGAGAATGGGGCCAGGAGATCTGTGACCTGGAAACTCACTCCTCACGGATATGTTCTCTTGAAAGAAACATTTGAGAGAAAGGGGGAGAGAGATTCGTGCCCTATTTGGATATGACAGTTTTCTGCATTCCCTGGTTAAATATTGCAGGATGCAACCACAAGCTGCCACAGAAGACAAGCCCCTTATCCACCAGTTTTTCTCTCTGTGTGTGTTGCCTCTTTTTCATTCCGGCCAGAGGGCAGTTTCAAACACCACAAGACAACCCCTACAAATTTAATAAATAATAATAATGCCATCAACTGTGTGCAGCTGTGAAGCAACCCATGTGTAGATATTCACCTCAATTACCTCACATGTAAGCAAGCCCTAAAGGATCTTCACTGGCTCCCAGTACGTTTCCGAGCACGATTCAAAGTGTTGGTGCTGACCTTTAAAGCCCTAAACGGCCTCAGCCCAGTATACCTGAAGGAGTGTCTCCACCACCATCGTTCTGCCAGGACACAGAGGTCCAGCTCCGAGGGTCTTCTGGCGGTTCCCTCACTGCGAGAAGTGAGGTTACAGGAAACCAGGCAGAGGGCCTTCTCGGTAGTGGCGCCTTTATTATGGAATGCCCTCCCGTCAGATGTCAAACAGATAAACAATTATTTCACTTTTAGAAGTTATCTGAAGGCAGCTCTGTATCAGGAGGTTATGAACGTTTGACGTTTTTGATCCTGTTTTTATTTGTGCTGGAAGCCGCCCAGAGTGGCGGATATGCAGAGTATACATAATAAAACTACAGTGGTACCTTGGTTCTCGAATGTAATCCATTCCGGAAGTCCGTTCAACTTCCAAAACATTTGAAAACCAAGGTGCGTCTTCTGATTGTCGCAGGTGCCCTGGAAACAATAGCCGACAACCACACTGAATGTTCAGCTTCCAAAAAACATTGGAAAACCGGAACACACACTTCCAGGTTTTCGTTACAGGTAGGTAGCTGTGTTGGTCTGCCGTAGCCGAAACAAAATAATAAAATTCCTTCCAGTAGCACCTTAGAGACCAACTAAGTTAGTTATTGGTATGAGCTTTTGTGTGCATTCTGAAGAAGTCTGCATGCACACGAAAGCTCATACTAATACTGTAAATAACATAAAGGTAAAGGGACCCCTGACCATTAGGTCCAGTCGTGGCCGACTCTGGAGTTGCGGCACTCATCTCGCTTTATTGGCCGAGAGAGCCGACATACAGTTTCCGGGTCATGTGGCCAGCATGACTAAGCCGCTTCTGGTGAACCAGAGCAGCGCACGGAAACGCCGTTTACTTTCCCGCTGGAGCAGTACCTATTTATCTACTTGCACTTTGAGGTGCTTTTGAACTGCTAGGTTGGCAGGAGCTGGGACCAAGCAACAGGAGCTCACCCTGTCGCGGGGATTCGAACCGCCAACCTTCTGATGGCAAGTCCTAGGTTCTGTGGTTATTATCCCTTAATAACTAACTTAGTTGGTCTCTAAGGTGCTACTGGAAGGAATTTTTTTATTTTGTTCCAGGTTTTCAGCGTTCAGGAGCTGAAATGTTCAAGTACCAAGGTGTTCAAGAACCAAGTTTCCACTGTATTATTACTATTATTATTTGGCCATACAATCTCGACTGCAGGCTGTTTCTAAGGCAGAATGATTTCTGTGTAGGGATGCCATTGCATTCTCAGAGTAGTTCTGAGGAACTACCCTTCCAAGTGTCTCCTCCAAGCCTGCCCCTCCTATTTCACGGGTGGGGTTCAAGGCCTGGCACTGATGTGGCTTGCCCAGTGTTCCCTGCCAAGCCCCACTCGGCACCACCTGTGGTGCGGATTAAGAAGGGGCTATTTGGGTGGCAGAGATAAGCCTGGCATTTGTCAGCTCAGTGGGGGCTCCCCCACCCCACCTCCCATCAGCCCGTTGATAGCAACAGATCTGACACTGTAGGGTCCCCCTCCCTTTAGGCAAGGCCTGTGTTCCACCAACTGGAATGTTTAGCCTACAAGATGCATCTAAACAGCTGTTCTGGATCACACCAATGGCGAACCCATGCCCAGGACCCAGCCTGCAAAGAGGGATCTGGCTTCAGAAAGCAGTAGCATAACACAGATAATTTTTTTTAATATTTTTATTGAAAAAATAATAATTATAAAGAAATAACGTGATACAGGGGAAAAATATGGGAGGTGAACAAATATGTATATACGGAAGAGAGAGAGAAAAACAA